TCATGAACAAGAACTGAGAAGGGTGGGTAACACAGCGTCATCTCCAGAAGTTAGATGTAAGATAAAATCAGCCCTGGGCTGGTCCCATAGTCTAGTGGTTAAAGGAGCCAGAGCTTACTTGGCTGACTGCGTGGCCATCCTCCCTGGGCCGGTGGGAGGGGGTTGTAAAGAAAAAGTAAGTGATTTCTTACTTCTTTTTCTCTTACTGTCTCTCTCTCCAGCGAGTGCGTGCACCCTATGGCAAAGTCTTTTTTTTTTAAAGAATTCTTCAAGACAAGGGACTGCAACCATGAAGCTCATTATCCACGTGACCTGACTCTTGACTCAGGTGGTGATCAGGTCTAGATTTCCTTGTTTAATTTTAATATAATAATAATAATACCTTGTGATTATGTGGCATCTTTCATCTTTAAACCTCAAAGCATTTTCTAACTATTAATAGACATGAACAGCCTCAGGGGTTTGCTGCAACTGGATCTATGTCTCTGCTGGAGAAAGGTATGACAGGGAGTTAGCTAACTTGCCAAGAGGAAGGATTATTATTTTTTAAAGACCCTTTTCATTACAGAATGTTTTAACCATGCACAGAAGTAAGAAGAATGGCATGATGAGCATCAATGTCCCTAGGACCCAACTGCCAACTTACAGCCCTTCTGTTTTACCCACTTCTACACACTTATGTTATTTTGATGCACATCTTGGGTATCTTCCATTTTTCATTCATAAATATTTCAGTATCTCCAAAATACAAGAATTCCTTTAAAAAAAAAAAAAAAAAAGGAGTATTGCACCATAAAAAATAAACAATACTGGGACCAGCAGATGGCGTAATGTTTATGGACTCCCATATAGCTGACTACGGTTTGAGCCCTGGACACAGTGGCTTACAACTCATGTTGAGTATGTGTGTGTGCATGCCCAAAATCCTAAGAGGAGAATGGAGGAGAAAGGATTGCGACATGGCCATCCCCCTGGGGAGTGACTTCTCGTTTTCTGTCTCTCCAGCAAGCACATGTGCCCTATAGCAACAATCTCTCTAAAAAAATACCCCCCAAACCAAAACAAACAAACAAACAAACAAAACCAAAAAACCTGTTCTGATATCTAATATCCAATTCAATTTAAAGTTTCCAATCACTCTATAAATACCATACATTTTTGGGACCAGTAGTTAGCGTAATGCTATGTCACTGGACTCCCCGTCAACCTCAGTTCGAATCCCAGACCCAGTGGCTTAAACTCACTCTGGGCGCTTGTGCGTGTGTGCCCAAGATCCTGAGAGGAGAATGGAGGAGAAGGGATTGTGGCATTGCCATCCACCCTGTGGGGTGATTTCTCGCTTTCTGTCTCTCTGTCTCTCTCTGTCTTTCCAGCAAGTGCACGTGCCCTATAGCAAAAACCTCTCAAAAAAAAAAAAAAAAAAAGAGAAAGAAAAGAAAAGAAAAAAAACCAATACATTTTTAAAAAGATTTTTAAAAAAATTTAGTTATTATTATGTTTAATTTGACCAAAGAGAGATAGAGAGAGGGAAAGTGAGAAAGCAAGCTGCAAGGTCTGATACTTGAACTGCAGTCTGCCATGTGGAAGTCTAGCACCTTGACCTCTGTGCCATCTGCTTTATCCCTAAATATCATAAATTTTAAACATTTTAAAAATGTTTTTGAACCAAGATCACATATTTTTTTTAGAGGTTTTTTCACTGTAGGGTGCGAGTGCTCGCCAGACAGACAGACAGAGAGAGACAGAGAGACAGAAAGCGAGAAATCACCCCCCAGGGGGGATGGTCACGCCGCAATCCCTTCTCCTCCATTCTCCTCTCG